TTAATTCTTTGGCACAAAGGCTGACGTAAAAAGTCTATGGGTTCGAATTGTATTTTCAGCTGATCAAAGTAGCTTTCTGGATTATGGCTTGAGTGAAGCTGATCCTGAGGTTTATGCTATTGTTGGCAAGGAAAAGAACCGACAGTATAAAAGCCTTGAGCTTATTGCTTCAGAAAATTTTACATCAAGGGCAGTGATGGAAGCAGTTGGTTCATGCCTCACAAATAAATACTCAGAAGGTTTACCTGGCAAAAGGTAAATTTTATTCCTTAGTATTTTTCTGATGTGTAGAAAGGGTAGGAAAGAGAGAGAAAGAGGAAGAGAGAAAAACAGAGGGAAATAGGGAGAGAGAGATAGATAGATGAGAAGAAGAGAGAAACAGAGAGGCTCAATTCTGTTTTTCCCAAAAACTGATTACAATAAGCCCTTCTGGTCTCTTTGTATAAGCCATAGTTCCTAAACCCAATTAACTAACTAACTAACTACCCATTAACTCCCTTGGCTGAGTCTCTCACTTTGTATTTATTACGTAACATTTTCCATCACTAAGTAAATAAATACTTCACTAAATGATTCCTCCCTCTTTCACTAATGTAATTGCATTGATTAGATTCTCATTTTGTATGTAAGGTACTATGGTGGAAATGAGTACATTGATGAGCTTGAAATACTATGCCAACAGAGAGCATTGGCTGCATTTCACTTGGATGGGAATAAGTGGGGTGTAAACGTTCAACCCTTATCTGGTTGTCCAGCCAATTTTGAAGTTTACACTGCAATTCTTAAGCCACATGATCGAATAATGGTAAACAATTTTCACTTATGTGATTTTTATTAATCCAAAATTGTGTTTGTCACCGGGCTGTGTTGATATGAAATATTGATTTTGCAGGGTTTGGACTTGCCTCATGGGGGACATTTATCTCATGGATTCATGACTCCTAAAAGGCGTGTATCAGGAACATCAATCTATTTTGAATCTATGCCTTACCGACTTGATGAATCGACAGGTACTTATATTTTTGTTATGAAATTATAACTAATTTATTGGATAGCTACATGAAGCTTATTAAGTTATTTTTGAATCATAAACAGGCCTTATTGATTATGATATGCTTGAGAAAACTGCTATTCTCTTCCGACCAAAACTCATCATTGCCGGTGCTAGTGCTTATCCTCGAGAGATTGACTATCCACGGATGAGAAAGTGAGTCCTATTCTGATGTATTTTCTTGAATATTTTGTTTGCGATTGATTATCTTTTGTGATTTGAGTTTTTGTCTCTTAGCAAAAGGCTAATTACATTTAATATGCATGGGAAGATTGCGGATGAAGTAGGTGCTTTTCTTATGATGGACATGGCTCATATTAGTGGACTTGTTGCTGCTGGCGTGCTTGCTGATCCCTTTGAATTCTGTGATATCGTGACAACCACTACCCACAAGGTTTTCCTCAAGACCTTCTGAATGTTATGTATTGATTTTTGGTTCCAAAGTGAAGGGAGCAGGATTTGCTTTTATCTTTTAAACAACCAAAATATGCTTTATTTTTTACTATATGCTTCTCTAAGTTGGTTTTTGCACACACGACTTGGTACTATTAAATATTTTTCTCCAGTCTCTGAGAGGTCCAAGAGGTGGCATGATATTCTTCAAGAAAGATTCTGTGCACGGTGTTGATCTAGAGTCTGCCATTAATAATGCTGTTTTTCCAGGCCTACAAGTAAGTTAGATATTGGTTCTTCTTATTCTTGTTGGGAATATATTGTCTAGTATATTTTGTGCCTATGAACCATGAAACCAGATGTAGATATCTCTGCTTTCGTTGTTTTGTACTGAAATTCTTTATTTAGGGTGGTCCTCATAACCACACAATTGGAGGACTAGCAGTTTGTTTGAAATATGCACAAGCCCCAGAATTTAAGGTTTACCAAAACCAGGTATTTCTCTTTCAGCCGATTGATAAGTGTGTCCCTGGGCGGATGATGACAGATTCACTCATGACTTAAATCTTGCAGGTGGTCTCTAACTGTAGAGCTCTGGCTGATCGATTAATTGGACATGGCTACAAATTGGTTTCTGGTGGAAGTGACAATCACCTGGTTCTTGTTGATCTGAGGCCTTCTGTAAGCATGTTGCTATCTTATATCTAATTTGAAAATAAAATTTCAGTATTTTTTTAACTCCCTATTGTTTTAGCGCCTTAATATTTTGTTGCTTTAAGCGTTGAGGTTTAAATGTTGCTCTAAAAATCTCTTGCATTTCACGTTAAGCAAGGTAAAAGTGAATGGATCAGAGATTAAAGAGAAAGTCAAGGGGGCAAGATTCTTATTCCTATGACAATTGGAAATGTAATGTAGTACTTATTTTGTGACGCACTGTTGTGGGCCAAAATTGACTTGTCCTTGCATTTAATGAAAAGTGATTATTGATTGTATGATTCTTTATGTATTTTTGAACTTAACATGATATGGTGATTTGTCTATTGATATTGGGGTTACGTTCTCCTTTCTTGACAGTGTGTGTGTGTGTGTGCGTGTGTGTGTGTAGTGTTTATGAACTTAAAATATACTTCCTTTCATCTATACCGTGACATTAACCAGCATAACATCCCCTAGGGTATTGATGGTGCTCGGGTGGAGAAAATTCTAGACATGGCCTCGATAACTCTCAACAAAAATTCAGTGCCTGGTGAGATTCATGCTACTTGTGTACCATATTCTTGGCCGTGTTTATGTATTATTCTATTTGCTGTCCTTCCTCCCCCTCCTTCTCTTTCGTTAAAAATATTTATCCCCTCTTCTTATGCATGTGAAATTATAACAGGTGATAAAAGTGCTCTGGTTCCTGGAGGCATTAGGATTGGATCGCCAGCAATGACGACAAGAGGACTAACAGAGAAAGAGTTTGTTCTAATTGCAGACTTCATTCATGAAGGTGTGCAAATAACGCTTGAAGCCAAACGATTGGCCCCGGGAACAAAGCTCCAAGAGTTTATGCAGTTTGTGTTATCCCCTGAATTTCCTTTGAAAGATCGAATTTCAAGCCTTCGTGAAAAGGTCGAAGCTCTCACTACAGAGTTTCCAATTCCTGGAGTCTAAGTGGTGTAGTAATTGAAGTATAGGGGGATGGGGTGTTAAGTGCTTAGCTGAGGCAAGTAGAAGACTCGAGTACTTAGTCTTGTATGTTTAATATACTTCTGTCCAATCAAATCAAAAGAAATGGATTTTTTTAAGTATTAACAGTATTAATAACAAGTTTTTTATAAAATAAATAATCTATAAAAAATCCGCATATCTTGATTGATTGGAAACAGTCATCTTAGTCATATAAAGCTAAGTATATAAGGTCTCTCTTTAGGTGATAGAATAGAGTATTTCCTTTGATCTCCCCCCGTTATGGTCTGGCAGGGCAAAATGTATGATTTGGTACTAAATGGGTTGTACGTTAGATTTTACGTGGACTGTAATATACAGAGCTGATTATCAAAGTTGGTCTCCGTGGTGGGACATTGGTAACTAAACCATTGTGTCCGTGAAATACTATGTAGTATGGGACTGGATGTTCGTCAATTTTGATCCGTAATATTATTTTGGGTCTTGGAGGTTAAAAGTTGTTTATTTAAGGTGCTGCATCAGGAGTATGATTTATATATTGTTTGTTGTGGTGTGGAAGCAGACAAATGTTTTGCCCAGGTAATTATTCGTTGGCGTTTCCTTCGGATATTTGATGAAATTTTAAGTTAACTGAGTTCACTGGAATTTGTATATTTGCACTAGTTTTAATGCAGGAAATTGTTCCAAAGAGGTAAGAAACTTGAGTTTTTCTCTCCTTAAGTAATTTTAAAAAATTTACAATGATTTATGTTTATTTATCAGGGAAGATAAATATTTGTTTAAGCAAGCACAGTTTACATCATGAACTCTGGGTCTGAAAAAGGAAATTCCTAAGACTCAGCTATATTTGATCTCGCCTCTAAGCTTTTCACCCTTCCCATGTATGAGAAAGAAAAAACTAGGAATATCAGTGCATCCGAAAATAGAGGATTGATCTCTATCAATAGACCTACTAATTTACCCAGGTAACCGCATTAAAGGATAAGTTGACGCACCCATCACTTGAGCAGCAAGTGATCGAATTAGGGACATGTAATCCAAAAACAGTATAGGAAAGGCATAAAGGGATAAATGTTATCCATTAAAATTCCCATGCACTGGGTTACTTGGCTAACTCAAGTGATGGAAAGTACATATTAGATAGGTACATGGAATGTGATTGGATCAGATCAAGGAAATTCATTTTTTGATGGGAATCAAGCATCTGTAGCGATGAAAAACAGGGTGGAAAAGGTTGGGCTGAGCACAGTGGAAGGTGTTATCAATAGAGAAACATATGCTCTCTCTGTGCTGTGCCCTGATATTTATAAATTTTGGGGTACTTGGATTTTCATTGAGATGCTTAACATGTTCAGCAAACTCCTAAAAGCTAGAAGAGAAATCAATTGAAAGAAATAAACCTTGCAGCATCAGCATGTATGATGGGATTCATTAGAAATTCATAGATTTGCTTGTTTAGAACGTATAGGAGGCGTATGCCTCTGGAGAGGACGGAAAAGGGTGAGTTCAGTGACAAAACTCAAGACATCAATCCTAGAATGAGGCTCGTCAGATGAACTTTGACCATAGGCTCCAGCTAAAATTTAATAGTGAAAGCATAGTATTTTTCTCATTCCAATGGTCTATTTATATACCATTGACCTTAAAAGAGCACAGAGCTATAAACGTTAAACTTCAGTAACAATTTAGAAGTAGTTAAAGTTAGGAGTTGTAGAACCCAAAAAAAAAAAAAAAAGCCCTGAAAGAGCGATGCAATTTACCACTCGGAGAAGAGCCACATGATTTGGCGGCTGGGAGAATCCCCTCAGCGCAACACTTGTAGCCCATGTCCTGAGTAGCTAACTGCCTTTACTGGCAATGTATGATTAAATGGGTTCAGAGTAACTTAGCAAAGGACGCACATGGGAAGCAAGTGTATTAGGAAATTCCAGCTAATTCAGACGCAGAGTTACCAATCAAAATCTTGTCAAAGTATACAATACTAAAAGAATTGGACCATCGTGAAAATGTGAAAATAAAATCCCCGCCTTCTCAGTCATCACTCCAACATGAGAACATGAAAGGACAACAAAGCTACATTGAATAGGCTGCAAGCTGCAAATCTTCCTCAGGACACATACCATATTCTCACATTTTAGAAGCATTTTCTGTGCACAATGGATGGTCCAGATTCATCATACTCTGCCTTTGCAATCCACATCTGCTCTCAATAGACAATACAACATCTCATCAGAGATTGAATGGAAGCCCTTAAAAACAAAATTCGAAGGAACAGAGAAGGATAAAACAGTACAAACCTGTTGGAAGGTGCTCAGGGATGCCAAAATCGAACCACCAATCCAGACACTGTACTTCCTCTCAGGTGGTGCAACTACCTTGATCTTCATACTACTTGGGGCCAATGCAGAGATCTCCTTGCTCATTCTATCAGCAATGCCTGGGAACATGGTTGAACCCCCGGAGAGGACAATGTTACCATACAAGTCTTTCCTAATATCAACATCACACTTCATAATGGAGTTGTATGTTGTCTCATGAATGCCTGCGGCTTCCATTCCAATCAAAGATGGCTGGTACAAAACCTCCGGACATCTGAAACGTTCAGCACCAATAGTGATGACCTGACCATCAGGCAACTCATAGCTCTTCTCCACTGCAGAGCTGGTCTTGGCTGTCTCTAGCTCTTGCTCATAGTCAAGGGCAATGTAAGCTAGCTTTTCCTTCACATCTCTAACAATTTCCCGCTCTGCTGAGGTGGTAAAAGAATACCCACGTTCAGTCAGAATTTTCATCATGTATTCAGTAAGGTCGCGACCAGCCAGGTCAAGACGAAGGATGGCATGAGGGAGAGCATAACCCTCATAGATAGGAACTGTGTGACTGACACCGTCACCAGAGTCCAACACAATACCTGCAGAGGGAAAGCAATTAAATCATCCTCGGAAAAAAAAAAATTGACAAATGCAACCAAAGCCCGTTATATGATTGTGAACTAACAAAGGTAAAACCCGTCATTATTTCATATGGTCCCAACTGACTGCAGGAACATTATCCTTGTTCAAATGGCAAGTGTAATCATGCAGAATAATGCAAAAACTTTCTGTCCCATCGAATGTTTAAATATAATGTTATAATATATGCTTTCAAGATACCTTAGGAGTTTTACACAAGTCAATATCTTAAAACTCCTCAGACAAGTTTTTCTTAAAAAAAAAAAAAAAAAAAAAAGCCTCAAAGCAAGTCCGGTAGCTTACCAGTTGTACGACCACTAGCATACAGTGAAAGAACAGCTTGAATGGCTACATACATAGCAGGGGTGTTGAAAGTCTCAAACATAATTTGAGTCATCTTCTCACGATTAGCCTTGGGATTAAGTGGAGCCTCAGTTAAAAGCACTGGGTGCTCTTCTGGGGCAACACGAAGCTCATTATAGAAGGTATGATGCCAAATCTTTTCCATATCATCCCAGTTGCTGACAATTCCATGCTCAATTGGGTACTTGAGAGTAAGAATACCCCTCTTAGATTGTGCCTCATCACCGACATATGCATCCTTTTGGCCCATGCCAACCATCACACCAGTGTGACGAGGACGACCTACAATGCTGGGAAACACAGCACGTGGGGCATCATCTCCAGCAAATCCAGCCTGACCATAGCAATGGGTTATTTTAAACTTGCTGGATCACAAAGCAAGGCATTTAAAGAAAGTAGATTGAGCTCGGTATGTTTAAAAAGGAAAGATGATAAGGAAGATCTATTTATACCTTGACCATTCCGGTCCCATTATCACAGACAAGGGGTTGAATATCCTCAGCATCTGCCATCTTCTGCTATCTGCTAAATAAACAACTGGTAAGATGTGTGCCATTTCTATAAGCAAAACCACTTAAACTAGAAGTTGACATTAACCCTGAAAGATATCAGATGATGAAACAACACCAAGATTCTGATTAAAACACCACAAAAAAACGCCTTATTTAGTTTTATAACATACAAATAAAAGAGATGCTTCGGAGTATCAAATGATCAATGCCCAAGACTCAAGGATAGACAGAAGCAGCGAGACAACCAATTATGAACGTGTATTAAACGAAGTAAATATAGGCACTAGATCCCATACAAATTCCCCAGCTGTTTGTTTTTTAATTTTTTTAATCATCAAGAGGGTTACAAACTCCATTGGCAAAAGAGAAACAAAAATTTGGCTAGACACCACGAAGTCGGCCATATTACTAATTAGTTAGGTGGGGGAGCATTGACAACGTTGGAAAATGTACACATAGCTTCAGACAGAAACCAGCTTCGAAGGTTGCAAATCGAATTACTTCAGGCATTCAATCGAGCAACATTTTCTAGCTTCCCATAACCACAATAGATCCAAACCATTAGCAAGAAATCTACGAAATGAAAAGAAAGAGATAAACAATGCGACCAATCAAACCGATTCAAAGTTCAGAGAAGACAAGCACCCACCTCGCGAACAAAAACCTGGATCGTTCAATTCAAAACAACCTAGATACACGCATCAAATAATTCAAATTGCGCGCAGGAATCCACTCCACCATCCAACACAAACATCAGGCCACGAAAACGATCAGATAAAAGCAAATGAACGTGGCACACATCATTTAAATCATAATGCAGGTAACAATCCACTAGACATCAGAACTGAGAACCAAAAAGTGGAAAAAGCATGCTTGATCAAATGCTGAATAGAAATGCAAGGGACAGATCTAAGAGGCAATGAAGCGGATCGAAATGATAATGTAAGAGAATCGAAGCAAGAGAAGAAGTAGACCTTAAGGATTTCCGAGCGATGGAGAAAGAGATGTAGAGAGAGGGAAGAGAGAGTGAGAATGGAAGGGAGGAAGTGGGAAATTGGGAATATATATGTAGGAAAGAGGAGAAGTAACGGTGGCCGTTGGATGAGATGAGGAGAGACTGTGAGAGTTTGAAAATGGGATGGGAAAGGGGGCGAACGGGTCCATTGGGATGCCATCTTCTGTCTCTGAGTGCTGTCCGCTGACCAATCCCTCTTCTTCTCCACACTTCCCCCTCCGGTTTTCCGGTCATCCTCCTTCCTTCAAGTGGATTCGCGGTTTTACCCCTCTCTTAATTTTCTCCTTTTACTTTTATTTTTGAAAAAAAAAAAAGTGGCCCCTCTAATTTTGATTCAATTTCTGTACTTTAAATTCAGTTGAAAGTTTTAGCTAATTTAAAATGTTGGTCCTTATATTTTATAAATAAAATTATAATGACTAATGTTTTAAATGACTAAAACTGTAGAAATCTGTATTAAAATTTATGGACTAAATTTCAATCGAATTAAAATTATAAATATTAAATTACATCAAATTAAAGTTTAGACAATAGATTACAACGAAGTCCAAACTATATAGAATGAATTTTTTTTTTTGCTTGTTAATGAAATTAGCTTCTTAATTATAACACATATTTTTGGAAGTACTTTTTCTTTATATGCAAAACAACTTAGATGAATATCAAATTTTAGAATTCATTAGAATCTTTGCGACTTGGAAAAAAAATGAAATTATTTACAAATAACTTATTAATAAAATTATTGCACCCCAATAATAGTAAATTCTAAATTTTTTGTTTACTTTTTTATTGTAAAATCTAATATGGAATTTTCAGGTGACTTATTTTAAAGCACTTTTTAAGTTTTATTTCGTTTGAAACTAGTTTTTATTTTTGACCTGATAATGGACATATTTGGTTCGTAATATCAACTATTTTATTTTCCTAACTTTATTTTATATCACATGCTTAATTTAACTATTCTATTTTATTTTGATCAATTAGCTTTTACCACCTCCACTCCTTAATATAAGACTCTATTTGATTTTTATTTTGGTCTTAAATATAAGACCTCAATCCATTTTGTCTCTCATATTTATATTTTTTTTTCAAAGTAGCCCTTCTAACAATGATAGTTCTAGTCAATACATTTAATTAGCAAGGATATTTTAGAAAAAACAACACCTATTTAGGATAAATAACTAACTTAATTTACTTACTTAGTCTCCTCAAATTAGTCAATTGGTTCTTCTAATTAGGACCGGAGGTAGTATAAAACAACTTAAATTTAAACTAGCATTAAATTTTTTTTGTTGGTCATCAGCTTGTGAGGATGCTTAGGAAAATTATGAGTACTTTGTGGAGCAAATGATGACAACTAATTACTAGGTGTTACTTAAATCCAACGTATTATACCAACTTTCAGCATCACTATCCAAATCTTTTGCCTTCTAAATTTGAGATGATGGATACACACACACACATTATCTATTGTCTTTAATATAACAGCTAATCTGATATTAAATTTAATCATAAATATAATATCTCAATTTACTTTGTCTCTAAATAATCCTTGTAGTAATTACATATGTTAAGAGTTAGTTTTAACTAATACACATTATTAGTACGTATATTCTAGAAAATACAATACTTATTTATTACAAATAACTAACATAATTAATTTTTTTAATCTTTTCAAATTAGTCAATTATGTCTTATATTAAGGATCAGAAATAATATTCATCTAATATTTAATATAAGACTCATTTTATAGTACTACCTCCGGTCCTAATTATAAGACCCAGTTGACTTATTTGAAGAGATTAAGGAAGCAAGTTAAGTTAGTTATTTGTAATAAATAAGTGTTGTCATTCCTAAAATATTCTTGCTAATTAAGTATATTGGCTAGAACTATCATTATTAGAAGGACTATTTTGGAAAAAAAAAATGTATAAATATGAGAGACAAAATGGATTGGGGTCTTATAATTAGGACCAAACAAAAAGTTAAACGGGATTTTATATTAAAGACCGGAGGTAGTATTATATTTAGAAATAGATTGCGTGTGTGTGTATTTTCTGATTCATCACACAATACTTCCCAAAGCAGTCGTCCATCAAGTTAGCACCAAGTCTCCCCTCAATTCAATTTTCAATCGGAAAGGTTTTAAAAATCACGGGGACAACGTCCCTAAAGACCCGTTTAAGATCACGCATGAGGGTCCAAACGTACATCTCAACTGGCAAAAGTTTCTTCTTTTTTTGGCACGTCATTTTTACAATCTAGCTTTGGGGTTCAAATAGACTTCTGGGATGAAGCTGATGGATCTTACTTTTTACAGTAAGAAGAATACCAGTGTGGTGAAATAAGGAGGAATATGGTATTTTGAGTTTTTCTAGTATTATGTGTTCTTGTTTTATTAGCAATTTTGATTTTAGAGCAGCACTTTTATTTAAAGTTGTTGATATGAAATTTTTGTTCATTTTTTTAGATGTTTATACCAACTGATTCAGAGGGTATATTTATCCATATAATATATTTAATTAAGCATTTTAGTATTTTTCAATTTCTTACTAATAATACATTAATTTTAATATTCTAATAATTTTATTTTCAAGATTTCTTTTATGATTGTCACATTATATACATATAATATTAAATATGTATTATTTAATAAAATTTATGTCATTTTCAGTCATGTTATATCTAAACTTACTTTTTTATTAATCATCCAAATAAGTTTCAATTTTTCAAACTGATTTTTTTTATAAAAATTCATCTAAACATAAATCATACCATACTATCTGACTTTTATCTCAATTTTAGTTTGTAAAATTCAAATTGAAAAAAAAAACCACTTCTATTACTGCTAATCCAAAAATATCCTAAAAAGTCAAACAAGGCATCTTACTTTTACTAAAGCGTAATGACGTTGGTGTTATCATTGCGCAGAAGCCAAGATAGCAATTCATCACCCATCCGTAATAATTAGAGCTGCACATGGGTAGGACTGGACAAGACAGGACTCTTGCCCAATACCTAGCCTGAAGAATGAACAGGCTGAAAAATAGTAATACAGCCTATTACCCAGCCCTACCTATGAAAAGCTGTAATAAGTTTGGACTAAACAAATGCAGGCTGAGCAAGGCAGGCTTTTATTCCCAACACGTCGATATACTATATTAATTACCTAATTATTTATGTGCTTCTAAATAATCTAATGTAACTTTGTATTAAAATGAAAACTTGGCCTTAATTTTGTTATTACTAATTAATATACCATGAAACTACTTTTTGTAGTAGTTAAGAGGAGTGGACTATGACAAAAAAAACATTGTTAGTATATTTTATTAAACTTAATTATTTTTCTAGTTTCTAATTCTCAAAATCATTAAAAAAAATAAATAAGTATAATGAATGCTGAATATTGATGTAACAATATATTTGATTTAGAAAATAAATATGAGACAAATAAAATATATAAATAAAATTATATATATTTTTGCAGGCAGAACCAAATGAGCAGGGCAGCATACCATGCCTGATGCCTAGCCCTGCCCAGCAATTTGCCTAGCCCGAACATGCCTAACAGTTCTTTTGGACCATTTTTTTAGGACGGGTTGGGTATTTTTTTGCTAGCTTCAACAGGCATAACGGGCAACTGAGCTTCATGAACACTCCTAGTAATAATGATAGGCACTATTCTTGTAGACTGAGCCATCCAGAATTCACCATAAAATAGAGGTCGACGTGCAAATTTATTACAGAAAAATTTCACTTAACAGCTTTGTCATATCCCCTGAAAATTTAAAATCATAATAATATTATTTGTTATTATTAAAAGATTAATTTTAATTATAAAATAGTGACATTGATTATTAATATTTTTACCGATAAAAAACCAAATTACTGCCATTTTAAACCTTTAGAGACAAATTTACACCGAAAGAAACTTCCAAATATAAAAACTTCCAAACACAAATTTGCACATTAACTTAAGATGAAGCAGCATACCTGAACAGGAAATTTTCAACCTCCATATCTTCTGTGAATTTAATGAGGTTTTACCATATCCGAAAACAGATTTCCATGGAAATCCTAACATTAATTAGGATCTTTGTTAATTGCGTGACTCTTGCAATTAAAGGAATGCCCAAGTAATGAGATGATATGCAAGTAGCAGATCCTACTGTTGAATGGATTCAACTTTTACACTCCAATTATATGAACAATAGATAGATTGGGAATGGCATCTAACTTTATTGGGATTGTTTCGCATCACCAAATCATAATTTGCAAAGGACAAGGTTCAATTTCAAATTCTATATGGTAAATAAATTGTAGGAAAATTATTGTGTAGTCCCACGAAAACAATCTAATCACAGCCAAAATAATTCTAAAGTGCCTAGAGACCTGATTGCAAATAGGCTTGTACATGTAGTTACCAAAACACTTTGATTTATTTCTTTTGGTCCTTAATATAAAAGTTAATTGACTAATTTAAGTAGATTAAGAAAAATCATTAAGTTAGTTATTCGTAATAAATACGTATTATTTTTCCTAAAATATTCTTGTCTTTGTTAGTTAAATATATTGGCTAGAATTATTATTATTGAAAAGACTACTTTGAAAAAAAAAAATTAATAAATATGAGAGATAAAATAGATTGGAATCTTATTTTTAAAACTAAAATAAAAGTCAAACAAGTTCTTATATTAAATATCGAAATTAGTATTAAAAAGAAAAAGAAATAAGAAAAAGAGGCACTTGGCCCACGCACCTTCATTCCAGCTAAGGTCGAGCCCTCATCATCTCTGCAAGATTAAGATCGGTAATATTCATCTCCTAGCTAGAATATGAAAAACTTGTGTTCAAGATGGGCTCTCTTGATCATTTAAGTTGGGGTTTTATTATGTGAGTAGAATAATGAATTGCTATTCTATTTTTGGGTACATTGTTGATGGGTTACTCTTGTTTCATCATGACTTAAGTCAGCATGAATGAATATAGTGGAGGATTTTTGTGGTTAGGATCCTCCATTATG